TTCTTTCGTTCTTTCTGCTTAACTTTTCTTTCTTTCTTTCTTTCTTTCCGCTTATATTTTCAAAGTCACCCCTATCAGCAATTCAGAATGCCCGTCTTTTCGTTAAATATCTCATCAGAATCTATCTTCTTTTTCTTTTCTTTTTAATCATTTTAACCCAAGCAAGGCAATAAAGCCACTAAGACACAAGGAGGTTATTGAGTGGGAAAGAATAAGAAAAAAACAAAACATTACTAAGGAGCGAGAACAATAATAGAAGAGGAATCAATAAGGCAGTAGATAACGATTGACATTGCTTTTAACATTTTTGAAGATCAAAGCTGGCTGGAAAGCAAGAAGCCGGAATAGATTTCCACAAGCGAGAAGTACGATAGAAGATACTGCTAGCCAATTTAATTGTAAAATCTTGCATCTTTATTAGTCTAACAATTGTCCGCATATTGAATATTGTTCATGCAGGTCCGGTGTTTCTGCTGTGTATCTAGAGATTCTCAACAAAATCCAAATCTGTAATGTTATCGGTCCTGACCTGTTTTTTCGTCTTTAATCTTTTCCACCGTAACATTGGTTTCCCTCTGCCTTTCCTATAAATATTTTATGGTAAGTGTTCGAATGAGATTTTCTGTTTGATAACTTCGTGAATTTAAGTGTAATACTCGATTGCCATTAAGTAGCATCTTTTTTTTCTGTTGAAATTGCTACATGTAACCGTAAGGTCTGTTATTCTCACGCACTTCTCGGCTGTGGGACTCTCTTCCGTCTTCCTGTTTTCCTGTCAGCTACGAACTTCAAAAATTTAAATGCAATGTCAATTATCATTTTCTAACTTTTTAAGTCCAGTTCTGTTCTTTCCCTTTCTCCTCAAAAATGTTTTCTCAGATACTTTTACTCTCAGTAATCCCTTGTGTTTTAGGGAAATTATCACCTTGCTTAGGGTGAAATGATTATTTTAAAAATGTTGAATTGTAGTGCGTTAAGTGTTTCGTTATAACAAGATGCCAAGTTCGGTCTATGGCTCAAGTTAATGGTTTATCAATGAAATTTTTTTAAGGTCTAATCGCTAAATTTTTTGGTTAACATATATTTTTTCCTGTTTCTATGTTAACTAAATTTTAGGCTAACATATATTTTTCCTGTTTTTAGGGCTGAAGAATGAGTCGGTCAATATGTTGAGATAACAATAAGAAATATTTAAGAAGTGATTTAAATGTCCAAATAATATTAAATATCTAATGACATTTCTCGAAGTTATAGGCAATATGAAAAGGGTAGGGTATTTTGTCACTTAAGAGAGTTCGAGTTCTCAAGAAGGCCAGTTTTTAAAATATCAAAGTTTCAGGACTTATGGTTGAACCTCTTAAAATAATCTCTGTCGATGAAATTAGACAAGTTGTGTATTCATAATCACTCCGCTGTTTGTTGTTTGCCCTCTGGAAAAAAACGCTGCGCGGTCCTTATGTATATACATTACTTTGAATTCTAATACTTGTAAAATCTACGATGCTGAACAGACAAATTGCAAAATTAGGCACTTTACTAAAATATGTCACATCCCTTTCGGTACTAACGAGAAGAGGTGAGACTCAAATGTTGTGAGCCCAACTTTCTTCATGTTATGGAATCAAGGAAAAATACGTTTCTTTTTATTTTCAGTTTCCATCTAGCGTTTCGTCAAAGATTTGCCTGCACGGGCCGTATTGACCGCTTCTTTAATACTCAACATATCGCCTTCTCCGGTAATATCTTTACAGCCAAACGTTTCAACTATTGCATACGAAGGGCAAGCCAAATTTTCGTCATTTTACATGCGATTATAGACTTCACACAACGTAATCTGTTCTGCGGCTGTATGGGGGGCGTGTAATGGATAAGGACTCGGAATGAGTAACTGGAGAAGCGAGTTCGAATTCTATCTGGGTTCGTAACATTCACTTGTGCTCAAATACCCTTAGGAGAGGTATGAATCTATCTCTTCTCCTATGTGACGAATAGCAGAATAGACTGGGTCGTGTAGCCTTGGTTGGAAACCAGTCTACCGCAGAAAGTAACAGTAACCTACTGCAGGAAAATCTTCTGCTGGGTCAGTCATGAATTGAAAGAGACGTGATCAATCGAGCGTGTATCGCATCTGGCACTCAACTGCATGATCATATATATATATATATATATATATATATATATATATATATATATATATATATTCGAGCACTTTCAGCTATACTTTTAGCCATTATCCGAAAGTGCTCGGAACTATAGAACATATAAACAGTTTCTACACACTCTGTGTCCATCCCTTGTGCGAACACAAGAAAAATGAAATAAAAAACTTAAGCGTAGTAACTTGTCTGTCGTTTTTATTGAAACATGAATAAATGAAGGATTGCTGCCTAAATACACAATATATATATATATATACAAATGGATGATAACACCAAATCGAATCGAAAAGAATGGACTAAGAAAATATATCTTCCGGACTTCATTCGAGGTTTTCTGTCTG